GTTTACTTTGGAACCCTGCACTGACTTGGTAACGGGAATGGAGCTGACGGGGTACATTAGCGCTTATCTTATCGCCTGGTCACCTCCCGTCTGGGTACAGCATTCGTTCGAGCATGGCACCTATCTAGGTAATAGAGGTAGGTATGTAGGTAGGTATAGAATTACTAAAGTACTGTACAGTATGTGTCTCATTTATTCTTTATAAATTATCTCACCATCAATCATGTTTCATCGTCTACGTATCATGTATCCTTCCAGGTTTGCTCGCTCACGCTGTACTCTGACAAGAGGACTCTCCTGTTGATGCCGTCTTGTTCCCTCTTCCCGTACAGCAATATCTTATTCATCGGAGCCCCCGAGAGCTCCGTCTCAATCTCGCTCAATCTGAGGTACTCGGGCAATAGCGGTAGCTTGAGATCCTGATCACGCATTGAGCTGTTGAGAGGGAAGTCATCCCCTAGGTCAGCACCTTGATAAAAGTCCCCTTCCTCCAACTCAATGACCTTCTTAGCAACGCATGCAGCGACGTGAGCATCCCAGATACCTTCCCTATGAGGACTTGTTCTGAGGAGCTTCAGCGCTTCGATTCGAATGCGGTGCACTCGGCACTTCACGGCTGTGAAGTATAGAGCTGGCAACCAGCCAATGTCGACGATCGATCTGGGCATGCACGTTGCCATGATATGCAGCGGCATCTCGTCTTCGAGGTCATGATCATAGGTAGACACCTCCCATAAGCCTGTGAGCTCTTTGATGAGCAAGATAAACTTGTCTGTACATGCGTCGTAGACCATCTCGTTGTTGTGTATGCATGTGTCAGCCATGATGTTTATCATGGCATACTGTATGCGCACGACCTGGTAGGCTTTTCCCATGTCTCTATTCGGGCCGCACGAATGAGTGTTTAAGAAGTTCTGGAACATGCTATCCCAGTGGGCTAATCTTGTTATGAGAAGTTGCTGGGACATGTGCTCGGTCGCAGTTATGCGCCGCTGGCGGGCTCGGTGAGTAAGGTGGAATATCTGGTTGTAGACGAGCTCCAATCCTTTCCAGGCATCATTGAGACTGTCGAAATGATCAGGTGGAGTAGTCTGAGGGTAGGGCGCTGGCTGCAAGATGACACAGGAGTGATAATAGAGGTGCCTAAAGAGCTCGACCTGGATGTGTAGCCTGGAGAGGGCCTCAACTATCCAAGCATCAGTGGCCCCTTGACAGGGTTTTAGTGCAAGGATGCCCGATTTAGCATCGGCAAGACCCTGCATATGGGCAAGAATGTCAAGGCCGTTTTGAAGATGAATCTGAGCCGTCGCAAAGTGACCTCGAAAGAACTCCAAGCACACAAAGACGACGCATGTGATGAGAGCAACGCGACAAGATGCTCTATCTCTGGCGGAGAAGTGTGGCTGCAGATGTCCGATGGCCTTGACGTATTGCTGTAAGGTGAACTGTTCCTGTCGGTTCATTGCTTCAGCCTCGAGTGAGTTTCTATGTATACCCATCTCGACAACGCCCTTTTTGTGAGCCGAGCTCAGGGCAAGTAGTGCATGCAGGACAGCTGGTTCTTTAGATCCAGCCTGGAAAACAAGGGTACTCCAAAAGCCCGAGGAGAAAGTAGCGGATATCTTGGTCGAGGTGCGGCACTTGAACCAGTCAAAGTAGAGTTTCTCATGGGGGCTTAGCGAAGTGAAGGCCGTGGCTGGGTTTGAGAGTGGGATATGCATATGTATATGCATATGCTTGGCTTTGGCTTTGGCTGTCAAAGCCTGGGATCCTCCACCCCAGATGCCATATCCGTCACAGATACGACCAGTTGAGAGACATCTTTGACAAGCTGGACGACCTTCATCACATTTGACTTTTCTCACTCTGAATTGGACTGTTAATATGTGACATCTAAGGGAAAGGTATGTACTCACTTGCACGTTTTGCAACCAGACTTGACCTTTGCTCTACCCTTGCGAGACATTGTGTGGAGGGAAATTCCAACAAGGAGTAAGGATTAAAAGTGAATGAATCGATGGTGGCGTTGCATTAAACTGATCAAAGCTCTTTAGCTAAGTTAAGCTAATGATTTGATTTATTTGTCTGCTCGGAAACGGCATGTTCTGCTTGGTTAATAAGGCCGAGAGTTGGTTCAACTCTATGGCTCTGATGCTTATAAGTCGGGACTAACTTGGCTACCGCGGATCTCACTGCTCTGCCACCCCGCGGACATCTCCGCTGACAAGAGCAGTACCCTTGCTTATACAGTTTTGATTGGTTGGCTCGCATTTGTAGAGCTATGATTGGTTAGTAGACTCAACGTCATGCCTTGGCCATCATGTCTAAGTGGATGTGGTCTCGATGGTGTATATACTGCTTTAGGATAAGCATCCATTATCCAGATAGACTACAGTATCCGTTAGTACTTACTTAGGTAGGTATATACCCAGTCCAATCCTAGATACGATGCCAACAAGAGGGACCGGTCATGATACAATATGCCTCGAGCCAAGTCTCACTCAATTCCAAGCGATTTCAGGTAGGCCTTGTCAATGAGTTTACTCCTTCAAGGGCCCGGAATGTCTCAGTCATGTCAATTTATGTAGCGAATCTTCGTATCGGGCATGAGGAATATCACATAGGAGAATAGTAAGGGATTATATATTGTTGTCTTGTCAATATCCTACTTCTTTTCCCAAGCAAGTTGTGCAGTAGGCGTATAGTGACAACTTTAATAAGGTAGCATCTGATTTTGGTTATCTTGTATACAAGTGCACGCAGAGTTCACGATAGAAATAGTTCGTTAAATCATGAGTTTGGATTGATAGATGCTATCTTTGAGCTTATCTGTCTATCCTTTCCTTCCATACCATTTATATCATTCATGGGCTCACTATCAGTGGCAACCTCCTTTCATCTGTAGACCAATTGCATATCGGAAACAACAACCACCAGACCTTCAACACCCGCTAACTTTAAACGTTTCTCGTAAACTTTTTGTAACACAGCACACTCTGATGAGGAGTGGCTTATATTGGAAGGAGGCGCTTAGATCTTAGATCTTGGCCTTGGCGGCGGTCCAAGAGGCGATGGCGTCCATCAGAGGAGGGGAGAGAGCATCGTAGGACTCGAGTCCGAGCTCCTTGAACTGGGAGCGAACCTCGTTGGCCTTTTCGGCGGGGAATCCCTGCTCGATGATGGAGGAGACGAAGGCAGCGAACTGAGGCTCTTGCCAGCCGTTGTCGTTGGAGAGCTCGACGTGAACAAAGTCGAGACCCTTGAAGGGGTGCTCCTTCTCGATGCGGCCGAACATGTGAACACCACAATCGCGGCAGGCGTGTCGCTGGATAGCAGCGCTCTCGTCGACGATGGAGAGCTTGTCACCGTTGGCGGTGACCTGGAGCTGATCGCGGGGGATGACAGCGACGACGGAGAAGAGAGCACCCTCAGGCTTCCAGCACTTGGAGCAACCACAGGCGTGGTTGTGGGCGACCTGGCCGCTGAGGGTGACCTCGACGGGGTTGGAGGAGCACTTGCATCGGAGCTTACCACCAGAGAAGCTGGAAGAGCCCTTGGTGATGCCCTTGTTGATGCTGGGGTGGAGGTTGTGAGACATTTTGTAGGATGTGAAGGATCGGTAGATTGAAGTGAGAACTGCTGCTGCTGAGACGAAGGCGGCGACGGCTGCGATGGGAGTTTTGTTCTTTGAGATGATGTTTCGAGGGGAGGATGAAGCCATTGTAGAAGAGAAAGGGAGATGGAGAAGAGGGGGAGTTGGGGATCTTTTATAGACAAGGCAGATTGGAGAGAATGCGCAAGAGGCAAGCCATTTATTAACCTTTTCCCCCGCAGAATGCCATTGAATTGACGGTAATCTTGTCTGTCTCCGGTAAACCCAAGAGATTCCAAACGAGTTGGCTCCGAGATGCCGAGATATCACCACCTCAGTGTAGTCTACCTATGGAGCCCTCCAGCTGCCTACAGCTCGCCTACCTTAGGTACTGTAGCAGCTCTGTAAGATAGTGGAGTGGATCACCCGGCCGGGGGATGGCGTTTGCGGGGAAGCTCTAGGTAAGGGACCTACAACCGACGGTCATCGGGAGCCGACCCCGACCCCGTTCTCCATTCCGTGCCCACTCTACTAGGTATTGTATGGTACAGTAGGGAGGGCCTCAATGATAAGATACCTAAGTAGGTATGGTATTAATTTAGCGACTAGTCTAGTCTAGTCTAGCAGGCAATTGCTGGAATTGGAAATAGAAATGAGAGATTGGAAAACATCTAGAAGCTGTGACACCCGATGTTTACTGTACTCTGGCCGGCACCTCTACCGCTTACGATAAGGACAATGAGTTAAGTTACACACACAGTGAGACATGATCAAAATAAACTAAACTTCAATTGACCCCTCACTTGTTCTGTTCTGTTCTGCTGTAACTTACTCATCATCTGATCGGGATAAGTATATGCACTCCCGGCAATCAACACCACAATTTCCGGGACACATCCCGATGGCGCATCATGGCCCGATGAACCAATAGCAACTGATAGCCAGCGATAAAGATGAAGAGACCCTGCATTCGGAATTGTAAAAGATGCTTCTAGAATTGCGTGACCAAGGGTAGATAGATATCGGATATTCCAGAGATTCAGGGTCTCCGTTGTCGCTCGGAATTCCAAGGACAGTGCCGGTATATCAACTTCCGAGAGGACAGCGTGGCAACCGTTCAACGCCAAGAGAGATGATGACCTTGAATATGATCAGACGAGGCATCGTCCATGGCTTGATTCACATGGCATAGTCTTAAAAATATAGTAAGCAGTGCAATTTGAAATCTTGACTCTCAACCGAATATGTAATGCGTAATCATTTCAACGTCGCATGTTGATACCAAACAAAGGGCGTCTTATCAAACGACATGTCCACCTCCAATTCCAATTCCCCAACCCCTCACCAATGTCCAACCTCATTGAGGTCACAGCATCCATCGTCAGGTCAACCCAAACTCTAAGCTGCAATGTCCTGTCCAGTACGTATCTATCCATTGCGCAAGCCCAAGAACCATCGCGTTCCTGTTCCGAGATGGCATCTCGCATTGCCTGGTGATGTCACACATGTTTGCACCGCCTACACCGGAGTCCAGAAACACGATGCCAGCCAAGATGCTGACCATGCTCGGGATGAGGCCGTTGCAATAATTCAGTCATGGTTACGAGGAGAGACTGGTCCATCGGCATATGAGACATTTGCCGTTATCGATGGATGCGATGTACAAGAAACGACGGTATGGGTCTGCTATTGGGATGACAAGACAGCATACGATGAAGATCTTGAGAAACTCTCACTCGAGTCAATCTACTCCCGTTTGTCCCAACAAGGGCGTGCCTCAGTAGGCATCTGGCGAGAAGCCTTTATCACCGAGTATCCCAGACTCGAGACAAATTATTCTGGTCTTGACTACCTCCCCGGCCTCGCAAGACTTCCTCGTGCAACCTTTTCTGAACATACACTATCAGCCTATTGGGGCGCTGCCAGAGACAGAATCCCCTCATCTGCTCACGACCTTTTCCCTTCATCATCGGATCACCTTCCTCCAAACACAACGCCCAACGGTCTGGGACAATATCTCATCGGCACCAACACCGAGAATGTAGCTCATATCCGCTCAGGTCAATTCTGGGAAAACTGCAGCCAAGAAGAAGCCGACTCTTATAACACAAAACTCGAGCCCACGCTCCGATCTGGTCTTGAGTACCTATGGAATAATTCCCCTGAGACGGGGGCTCTGGGACTACGCTATCTTAGAAATCAGGACCCATCTCCATCTTCCCCGGAGAGTGCTCCCCAAAAAGAATCTTGTGGAGCAGGCTTCTTTACGAATCTCGAAGCTCTCGAAACATGGGCTAAGAGCCACAAGTCCCATCTGGCTATATACCGTGGTGCTTTGACTCATTACAAGGTTTTTGGAGAAGACAGGAAGTTTAGGACATGGCATGAAGTCTCGATCCTAAAAGAGGGAGCTGCGAGATTCGAGTATGTGAATTGCGTGCCCAAGACGGGGGTGATATCGAGTGTGCATCTAAAGGTCGAGGAAGTGCTTTGAGATCTCTACAAGGGCACTTTATATATAGTTTTAACTGTATACCTTCAGCAGGAGTGGTCCAGCAGTATCCGTCCTAGAAACCTATACTCTCTCTTTAATCACGAACTTAAAATCCTAAAACTGTCACCCGCTGGCCACTCCTTGCTTTTTGAAGGTCATCGGTTCGAATGGAAGCGTGCCTTAGTTTTCTTTTTGGCCAGCACTCAGTCCTACTGCATTTAATAGATGGCTTCACTCTTAATGACTAGATACGACTTTGAAGGAGTAAAACCGAATGAAAGACCAATATACTATATTCTAACTAAACCTTTCCTGCCGTCGGAACATCACTCTTGACATACTCCTCAAAAGTGGTCGGCTTCAACTGAGACCTCAACCAGGGTATATCAGCACCGTAAGCCCTCTCCCCAATAAACCCAAACATGGTGTTCAAGTCCTTACTCAGCCAGATCAGAAGGCGGGTCAAAAGACTGTAGGTGACCGGCACGCCTTTGCCGGTGTATTTGATAAAGATGTCATCAACCTCTTTGAAACTGAGCTCTTCGCTAGCAATGCTCAGAGCCTCATTCCGAATACTACGCTTGTCAGGCTGGAGAAGAGCCTCAACAGCCCATCTGCCGATATCCTTGGTCACGGTGACCTGCATCTTCTTTCCGGCCATGTTCACCTTCCAGCCTGTCATGCAAAGTGCGCCTGGGAACCCCCACCAGGCGTTATCAGCGAACCAGGTTGGACGGATGATGGTGTAGTCCATTTTGTTGCTGGAGCATACGTCTATGAGATGCTTTTCGATGAGGAACTTGTCAGAGAAGGTCTTGCAGTACGAAGGATCCTTGTCACTGAGTTCATGACCACCACGGTCGACAGACGAGTAGACAAAGTAAGGAACTCGATTACTAGCGGCAGAATCGATGAAACCCTTTGCGTCAGAGACTTCTGTTGGCCCGTGGGCTTGAGCGAGGTAGATCCCAGTCATGGGAAGAATGGACTTGTCGAGCTGCTGGAAGATGGCTTCAGGATCGTTCAAGTCACCGGCGATTATATTGATATCGCCGTACTTTGCGCGAAGCTTAACAGCTCCTGAGCCATATGCTTGGCGGGTGAGAGCGTATACTTGCTTGGGGTTGATATTGATATCAGGATGGTTGAGGAGGGCATCTACTGTTGCACCGCCCTGACGGCCTGTGGCGCCTGCGATGAGGAAGTATTCGAGGGGAGACATGTTATGAACGTTGTTGTGTTGATGAGATTCGTCTGAATAGATTCAGTCGTATCATCAACGTTATATCTCTACTATATATCAATTTTCGTGCCCATGATATTCAATCTTGTGTTCATTGCTTTTCAATGGCATTCAGTCTTGAACCGTGGATGCCATAACGTTACATCCAACCTGGCAGTTTCCTTTTTAGGAATATATGGATTGTTAGCTTGGTAATTGAACCCTTCTTTCCAGTCAGAGTCAGACATGAGCTTAATCTAATCCTATCAGGGTCACCGCGCGGTTACAGTGTCCATACCACCTCATGATGGGCGGGCTGAAAGTGAGTGGATCTCCCGCGCGCGAGTTTAGCCTGCCTGATGCAAAAGGACTTTGATCTTAACAACATGTCACCAGCAAGACATTATATCTCGTTAAAGGTCACGTACCTCGGACTAAGGAATAAGGATCTGAGTAATCAGAATCCGACATCCATTGTCGAGTCTCAGCAGTATCCAATTCTCTTACATGGCGCAGCAGCAGATTTACCGCGCGCAGATATTGATCTCACTTGAATGATTCCTACCTAACCTAGTCAAATGGCAGTTCTCTTATTGACTTGATTATTCATTCCCGCGCGGGCGATGTCGACACAATTACTTGACGTCCTGACATCCAGGACACCCTTCCGCTGGATTTGGCTAGAGATGATAGAAATAAGAGTAAATCGTAGTGGAAAGTTTATCAAGCGATAGACATCTTCCAGTACTCATTTAGTACTTCCCAATCCCATCAACATATGGTCTCATTTGAATCTTAAAAGCGACTTCTAGTCAGGCCAATTATCACAGACCAATGCTTCCTTTTTTCCCTCCTCGTCTCGAGAAACACATCCTCCTCTCTCGAGCCTCTGAAACTCGTGTGCCGGGTTGTCTGCCTGTAACTTGGCGTAAAGCTGGACCATAGTATAGTTCAGAAGTGTTTTCAGAGCATCGTCCACATAATCGTACTTTCCACTGGATGCAACGATCTCGGCTCTACTTCCACCGCCTATGATGATATAGGCTTCTTTCCCCCCATCATGGCGGTGACAGAGTCCGACTACTGCCTTGGCCGTGTTGGATGGGTAAAGAGCTTGCAAATTGGCTGGGATGTCAGCACCGGGCAGCATAACTCAACGCTGACAACTCACTGTTTACAAGCTGCCATAAAGCATTCATTTCTGGGGCACTACCGTTATCAACGACCATGCTTAAGCGCTGTGTACTGGGGCAGATGAACAGATATCAAGACGATGAGATTTATGCACCGGAACAGCATACAATGCTGTTTGAAACAATTTGAAGCCGATTGCAGTGGTTATCGCCATATTATATTCTACTATTCCAACCTATGGTCACTCTTATATCTGTCATTGATCAGAGCCAGAACAAAGACCATATATAATTGGGAAATCCTTTCAGAAAATCACTGGACAATCATGACTGCAATCAAAGATATGCAATCCAATTGATGTGCTTGTAAATCATCCAACAAACACGATTTCAAGTAAATATACTCTATCATTCTTTATCTTTTCCATTCTATGGATCTGAATCGCCAAAATCAAACTTCAATTTCCCCTACAGTTACTGTGTGAGTGTTTCTTACAAACCGTGGAGTGGACCTCATATCAATCCGCCGACATTTCGGCGGAGCAAATCCCGACCATGACTTACAAAACCTCAACTCGAACAACAGATTAACAATTTGTAAGAAAACACCCAAGATTGCATTCCAGGTCTTGTGAAGTGAGTATATATAGCCTTTAGCCATGTACCTTAATCAATATCATCACAATTTCAAAACAACTCACTCTCTCCAACGAACCCAACACTCATCCATATCACAATGAACGTCACTATTGTCGGCGCAAACGGCGAGGTAGGCTTGTCCACCATCGCAGCACTTACAGCTTCTTCTACCAAGTTTGTAAGTTTCCTCTTCCTTTGCGTTTATCCCACGCATCCCGATATTGATAGCCTGGCAGAACTTGACCGCATTTGTTCGACCTGCTTCCATCAACAAGCCCGAGATTGAACAAATCAGGCAGATGGGAGCCTCGGTTGTGGCCATCAACCTCGAAAACAATCACCAAGAGCTTGTAAAGGCTCTTACCGGCCAGGAAGTTGTCGTCAGTTCTCTAGTCCCATTCACAACTGGTCCCGAGATTGCTCTGGCAACTGCTGCCAAGGAAGCTGGAGTGAAGCGTTTTGTTCCTAGTGCCTTCGGCCCAAGTTGTCCCCCTTATGGTGTTATGCTTCTTAGGGAATTTGTAAGTCATTCCACTATCTACCTATCTGTTAGTTTCTCCTCTGACAACTTTATAGAAAGAAAGCATCATCAGCCACGTCAAGAAAATCTACCTGCCCTACACCATCATCGACGTTGGTTTGTGGTACCAGGTTTCTCTCCCGCCTCTCCCATCTGGCAAGATTGATTACGCCCTCAAGTTCCCTGCCACGGTCATTGCTGAGGATGGCTCCCATGCCACAGCCATCACGGATCTTAGAGACATTGGCAAATACCTGGCCAGGATTATCACGGATGACCGTACTCTGAACAAATCTGTGTTTGCATACAATGAGGTCTGGACTCAGGAACAGATTCATAGCCACCTCGAGAAAGTCAGCGGCGAGAAGATCCCTCGTAATCTGGTGAGTTTACAAACAAGCTGGAAGTTTGTTGAAGTTAAAAAAAGCTAACGGAAAGTCAGATGGCAACAAAGGACATCGAAGTTACTATCGCCACGGCTCAAACTGCGTATGACCAGAGTGACAAGTCCCTGCCTTTCATCTTTGGGCTTGCAGGTCCCCAGTACCTATACTGTGAATGGTTCCGTCAGGATAATCTGCCAGAGCGCGCTGAGTACCTAGGCTATCTCAGCACCAAGGATCTCTACCCGGACTTTGAGGCAATTAAATATGTCGACTATGTGGATAAGGTGATGGAGGGCAATGCAAAGTCTATCTATGCCAACCGTGGATAGATGGTAGACATTGGACCCATATAAGAGCCGGTATCGAATTTCCTCAAGGTAGTCTAGAATATTGATTTGAAATTTGGTAACCTCGTCTCATGCCATGTACTCCTTGTCTGTATCGATAAAAGCCGTGCATTCTATCTCGACATCAGTCTTTAGAGGCAGTTCATAAACAGCAACACATGTCCTTGCCTACTACTCATCAGTGTTCATTCTTCTGTGCTCCTTGGCAGATCACATACAGGTTTAGGCTCACAAGTAAAGAATTCATCATATGCTTCATTAACAAGAGCAAATTTACTCATGTCTGTAAGGTAAATGTTCACCTTGACGGCATTCCTTAAGCTGCTGCCCGACGCAATGAGGATAGCCTCGAGGTTCTTTATGGCTTGGTGCTGCGTTGCTCTGGTCAGCTTGTGACAATCTAGCTGGTACTCTTTTGTTTGACTTGCTGCTCTTTGCTTGACAGTCTCTCTGAGCTCGAAATTTGTTCCGGGAATCGCGCCAATATTACCAGAGCAGTAGACCATGCCGTTGTGTTTGACGGCCTGAGAGAACTGGGGTAGTGGAGCTGGGGCGGACTTGGTGTAGACACCTTCTATTTTAGAGGTCATGATTGCAGTTCGATAGGATCTAGAGTATTTGAGGGTCACTATGGCCTGGCATTTGTCCTGATGCAAGAAGCTTCCATTATCAAGAATGCGGGGTGGGTATGAGCCTGTGGTAGTTCGGTGACTAAATTTGTCTCCGATGGCAGGGTATGAGTCTCACTGACGATCTACGTACAAGGATTCTCTGGTCCTTTGGAAAAGGATTGCTCGAGTTCTTGCACATGTGAACTAGCATCCAATATCAATCATGTGCGTCAACTTGAGCCTCCAGGGTAGGCTTCAAATTGCCACATATTAGCACGATATAAAGGCAGCTTGGAATAGCTGGTGGGTGTCAAAGAAATTGTTTTCAAAGGCTTAGGCGAGGTACAAAAATAAAGTGGCATACCTACTAGCTTAAACTCGCATAAGGTGATCAAACTATTTCGTCTCTTATGCTCTCAGCGAGCGGCCAATTCTTCTGACACCCTGGGGACTATCCGTAACGTTAGATCACTTCAAACAACCTATGAGTTCCTCGCTGGCGGCGCCACCCGCTTGTGCTATTGACTGGGGGACCAGTCGGCGCAGTCTTGAGTTGAGGGCTTTGTGAAATGAAAGATTTGAGGCTGAAGTGAGTTTGAGGCATTGTCAGCCGTTGTTTTACCCAAGTATGTATTAGCAGTTATCAGACAGGTCTCAGCCACAGCTCTTGGTGTCACCACGAAACACGAGGTGAAACGTTGGTCCTTGGACGTTGAGTTTTTGGATCGTTAAGGAATACCGTTAATCCGTACTAACGGCGAAGTGTGTATGCCTTGTTCTTCTAGATATGAATGTCACTGGGAAGCTTGGGTCATATATCCAATGCGAGAAGATAGATAGAATTACTATTAAGCAACTTGTTTATCGACACGTGCGTTGCATTAGTTGATGGGGAATCAGATTTAAGAACAGCAATTTCATTGTTTATCAGCTCCAATCCCTTGCATGGTCCTTTGATTGTAAAGTATGCAGGGTCAGATCTGACTTGTGAAGCCACAGGGTAAGCTTTAGCGCCATGGTTAGAGTTCAACAATAAGAAGAAACAGTCACAGATACCGTAACCTCGGCTTCTGTGGCAAGCCACCAAAAGAAAATATTTGATTAGAGATTGATTGAATGTCTAAGACAAATTGACAATGCGATTGATCGGTCAGCCATCGTCTCATTGACCGCAGGTAAGGGAATCGGGATTGTCGTATCAGCATCAGCATCAGCATTAGCGTTAGCACAAGTTATTAACATCAGTGTTGATGAACTGATTTGTACTCTGTACACTACTACCTAATCAGTCAATAACAGCTCATTCTCACCCCAGCAACCCCTGTCCCTTGCATGTTTTAGCGGCGCATTCGGTTGAAGGTTAACCAGAGATAAGACAAAGCAGTGAGCCAAGTCGGAGCAAACTGAGTGGAGAGAAAACAAGAAAAAAGTGGCTGGCAGTCACTGACTCTTACTATTAGGACGTGACTGTACTGCATTAGCCTGATGCTAACTGCAGGGGCCGTTGATGGTCATTGGATCTGCTATCTACGCTAAGAAACAAGTAAAAAAAACCCAAAAAGTCGAAGAGCAGAGAAAGTTCCCCGGAGTGTAGATTTATGGGGGCACTCCACCGACAGCTCAGTGGATCTAGCGCAGGTACCCCACTGTAGCCAAGTTTACAGTTCACTGAGAGTCCGGCTAACTCGGCCCCGGGTCCCTTCGGATCGGATCATCACTGTCAACTTACAGTAAGTAACGTAGGGACCCATATTGTTGGTGATATCGTTTAGTTACTATGTAGGTTAGTACCTTATCGTTCTCCAATGAATGCAAATGTTACTGTAACCCCCAAGACTCAATAAGTACACATGCAGACAAAAGACCCCGTTATGTCTCCCAAACTCTGTCTTTCCTCCAATGGACGTACGTCTTCTTCTCTACACTCTACCTACCTGTATGTAGACTATCCCCAGATAATCACACCTCATGTTTCTCTTATCAATAAAGTCTTTTACCCGCCCAAGATCCGATCCTTGTCCTTGTCTCTGTCCTTATCCTTGTCCTTGAACCTCGTATTGTAAGACCAGCATCAAGCCCACCTCAGCCCAACGACTCTAGTGCAGGTACAAGAGACAGCTTCAATGAGGTCATGATTGGACCAAAGACGCAGTCTGCGGCGCAATGAGGAAAAATTGCCTCGTCTAGTTCATCTTGTTGACTTGTTGCTTGACATTTACATGCATGCTAGACTAGACTAGACTAGCCTCTTTGACAGCCATGCCATGCCATCTCTCTAAGTTTCCTTGGTAAGAGTAAGACCAGACTAGATTGGACTAGATTAAGTCTCTTTTGAGTTTTTGTTGTGTATGTGTGTGTGTCTCTCTCTCTCTTTTCCCGCTGTATCGGGATGAGTCTGTTGTTGGTCTGCATCTGTCAGCTCAAGTCAACCCATTCGATGTGAACTGAATTGAACTGAACTTGAGTTGACCTCTAGTCAAGATAAATACCCTCACCCTCTTCCCTCTGCCCCAACCTTCTTTTCCTTCTCTCTCCAACAACTACACTCGCTACAGTCGTTATCACTCTCGCTCGCTCTGCACTTCACTCGTTATAAAGTCAGATCACTTAATTCCACCCTCTCAAACAATCACAATGGCTTTCCTCAAGGCTGCTGCTGCTGGCCTCCTCCTCGGAGCTGCCAATGCTTCTCCTCACTATCCCGTCTACGGTAACGGTACTCAGTACACCACCGAGGTCGTGACCGCCATCACCACCTACTGCCCTGCTCCTACCACCCTCACCTACGGTGACAAGACCTACACTGTCACCAAGGAGACCACTCTTACCATCACCGACTGCCCCTGCACCATCAGCCACCCTCTCAAGCCCACAAAGCCCATCATCCCCGTCCCTACTGTTGTCTACACAACTGAGGTTCTCACTGCCATCACCACTTACTGCCCTGAGCCCACCACTCTCACTCACGGCAACAAGACCTACACCGTCACTGAGCCTACCACTCTCACCATCACCGACTGTCCTTGCACCGTCACCAAGTCTCAGACCGAGCACTACCCTCAGCCTACCCCCGGCAAGCCTGGCAAGCCTGGTCACCCCGGTAAGCCTGAGGGTCCCGGTCCTCACCCCACTGCTCCCGCTCCCGTCCCCGGAAAGCCCGAGCAGCCCAAGCCCGAGCCCGGTCACCCCGAGGCTCCCCAGACCACCGGCCCCGTCCCCGTCAACCCTACCAGCGACTACTCTCCTCCCGAGGGTACCAGCCCTGCCATTGTCACCGCTGCTGCTGGCCGCATCGCCCCTGCCGGCGTCCTGGCCTTCATCGGTGCCATTGCTCTCTTCTAAGCTATACTACTGCACCAATCTGCTTGTCACGTATATCTCTCGATATAATATCCATGATGTGATATGATATGAGATGAGTCGACGACAAAGCGTTTGGGTCACTTTTTAATGATTAATTCATACATGATATGCATGATGGATGAAGGAAGCGTTGGGTATATAATTCAGTTCTACTTTTTGCACATAGATCTCACGATAAAGGTGCATACATCTTAATACTATAAAAGTTCACCTGAGCTTGATTACCTACTTGTATAATTGAACTCCAGAAATACCCCGGCTTGTATCGTGATGTAAGTTGCCTACTACTACTAAGGTAACGATCAACCAATAGACACTGACAGCTCATCTCCACTTCTCTCCTGCATCATTCAGCATGCGGCTCTTAAATGTCTCAACTCTCTCTCTGCAAGAGTTCGCCGGCCGGATTCCTCCATATGCAATACTCAGTCACACGTGGGGTGAACAGGAAGTCCTCTTCAGCGACATCGGTACTGCAGCTGCCGCCTCCAAACAAGGCCATGCCAAACTCACTGGCTGCTGTAGGAAAGCAGCTCAAGATGGCTTCGATTGGGTTTGGATAGATACCTGCTGCATCGACAAGTCCAGCAGTGCTGAGCTGTCTGAAGCTATCAACTCTATGTACTGTTGGTACCAGAGGGCAACTGTTTGTTATGCTTACTTGGAGGATGTGACCGACCACACTCTTACGCTGGCCTTTCCCGTCGTCGAGTTTTACAAAAGCAGGTGGTTCACCCGAGGATGGACTCTGCAAGAACTGATCGCGCCCCAGATCGTGGAGCTCTGTTCCAAAGAATGGAGCGTCATTGGCACCAAGAGAAGTCTCGCCTCAGGAATAGGCAGTGTCACAGGAATACCTATCTCAGTGCTGCGTGGAGCGAACCCTTCTACATACAATATCGCCGAGCGAATGTCATGGGCATCAGCTAGAACCACCACGAGGGAGGAAGACTTGGCGTACTGCCTTCTAGGCTTGTTCAATGTCAACATGCCTCTTCTCTACGGCGAAGGATCAAAGTCGTTTCTTCGGCTACAGGAGCAGATCCTTAGACAGGAAGAGGACTACAGTATCTTTGCGTGGACACTACAACAAGACAGTGATCCCGTCAATCATTATGTTCGCGCAACAGGATTCCTGGCTTGGTCACCTTCGCAATTCTCCAAGGGAGGACACAAGTCACAGAACTTGAGAAATCATATGCTTATCGAACCTCCCGAGGAGGCACAAGGGGGTCGAGAACCAGTGTATCAAGTCCTTCAGCACAAAGATTATGACCGTATGTACCGAAGCTTCGATAGCATCAAGGCCATGAGAACAGCTCCCAACCCTCCAGAACTCACAAGTCGTGGTCTCCGTATCAGTCTTCCTATCATGGCGCCCACAAACTGCTCTCTATCGACCCCCTCCCTGGCATGGCTATTTTACGAGGTGCAAGATCTTTTGATTTGTGTTTTTCTCGAGCACAATCGCGAGACTTTGGCCCAGATATACTGTAGAGCAAAGTCCATGTGTCTCGTTGGCGTGCCAAAATCACTTCTCAACCACTTCGAGTCGACCGAGCTGTTCATTTACCCAAGTGGTTATTTCACGGATAGTAGCATCGCATACTCTCCGACTCCAATCTTCTCTTCCAAAAGAGTAAAAGTGCTGTTGAAGATGCAGTCAACCAAGATATCTTCCCTCGATGTCTTTCTGGCCTATCCCAACAACGAGTGGATGAAGCGAGAGACATCGATGCACGACGCTTCATTCAGGGTTCTCTGGATTCGCTGCACGCAAGGCTCACACTCTTCACTGTTTAGAATCGACTTCGCGGTATCGAACGAGAATGCTTCATGTTCAATGCGCGAATTGCCTGATTCTCAGACCAGTGACAAAATAGACGAGAGTCGCAAGAGTACCCTCTTCCGCGCATGTGTGCAGTACAAAAAGTCCTTCCTTGCTTATACAGATCGCGTTGTAAAAAGGTCGGCCAAAATACCTGAGACGGTCTTCTCGGTTGCTTTGAATCGGAAACCAACTTCCAAAGAGGACTTTGTGCTGTATGACATGATGGTCGACGCATGGGATGTGGTCAAGTGCCCGAGCTGGGTTCAGTTGAGTCTGATGCATGATCAGAAAGAATCTGACGATGGCTTGTGATTCGTGTCAAGTGGAATAATTTACAAGATTTATGACAATCTGTGCTAGCATCTCGGCTACTCCCATTTCTATTGTCCAGTGAAGTGGATGGAAGCAATGCAATTTTTCCTTCTGGGTTGCCAAGTCTGGCTTCTATCTTACAAGGTAGACTCTCTTAAGTAATGCAAAGTTGAGTCGCGTTAGTCCGTTATTTAGAGTCGTGGCTATGAATGCCACCCTATTTGCCATATACTTCAGGCCTGTGACTCTAGTTACCAAGCTGTGTGCCTTGAGTGAAGGACTACACAGGTAAGACGAGGCTGGGTATGTTAGTCTTCTACGAGTTGCTGTTCCGACCTAAACACTCTATCGTATAAGCCACGGCGTCCTTAATCATGGCAGTCGAGTCATGTATACCGAGTACTGGCAGCCATGGATGTTGTTAAACAGCAGGAACAGTGCGAGTTGTTCTCTCCTGGCACAAGAGTTGCTTCACTCTCGATGCATGCAGTTTGTCCCTCGAAGGCCTTTGTAATGTCAGTGATTCTTTCTGTTGTTGTCAAAGCAGATACTGTTTGCTTTTGGATGACATCAGGGTTCCCGATCGGCCCCGTCGCCCCGTTTTGTTAGCTCCGTCCGGCCCGGCAGCTTATCGGAAGGAAGAGGGGGAGGGGGCCGGCTCATTTCGGCCGTCGGTGATTGGTCTTGGTGGGGGAAGATCACCATCTCAGGTGTCATTTGACGTTGACGTCGGGTACAGTCCAGGACAGTCAAGTGATAACAATATGAATTGAGTCAACTAACGAACACCATGTCAACCCCAAACGCCATCATCTCGCAGGAAACCAGCCTAGCAGCAACAAAAATATACGCCGCAAAGAGAACAAGAAAATTTTGCTTCAAAACACCAAGTGAAATAAAAATCAGTCCCTCCCTTGTTGCTCGTGAATCCAGGCTTTGTCTTTGTCCCATCTAATTCCAAAGACCGATTCCTTGTGTGCCGAACGCTAAGGTGATGAATGCTTTGCCATTGCCTTGTAATACTCCGCCAAAGTCAAAGCCTGAAAGTGAGGCTGTCAAGTCGAACGACTAGGGAACCCTGTCCCGAGGTACTCCATCAAACAATGTCCATGCGTTGCACAGGCTGAAACAAGTGTGGTCATCTCGCCGCCTGGCGGAGAGGGGAAGAAAAAGCCGTGGGAATCTTAACGCCGTAAGAAAAGTATAGTTGAATAATGAAAGAGTTAACGATGAATTCGGAATCTCGTGAGAAGGAAATGTCTATCGTAACCTGGTCCGGATTTGCAGTACAATGCAGGTCGATTTAATGAGGAAGCATGTTCTTGGACTCGTCATCGCTCAGAACGATCTCGTGCACGGGATCGCGGCGGTTCTCGAGAGGAACATAGTCGCAGTCGATGTAAGACGGAAGGAAGATTTCTATCACATGTTAGTTGCGAACCGATCTATGACATGATTACCATACCGGGGTTCCAGGCGAAACCTTGACTCGAAGAGAGGTAGGAAATCTTGACAGGTCAGCCAGTGAGACAGGATGCCAAAGTGTTTAACTGAACCTACCAGTCGAGGAGGGCCCTCAGGGTCACCGACGTTAATGACAGTGCATTCTTGCTTAGACAGAGAAGAGCCTACAGCAAGATCAATTTAGTATAACGAAAACCAGTCGAGTATATGATAAGGGAATCGCATTGCAGTAGCAGTCACAGTATGAAGGGGACCAGGCTTTCACTTACTCAAAAGACTCGGGCGGCGGTTGTGAAGGGCCTTATCCTTCCCGGCTGACGGCGGGGACGAAGAAGGCGAGGTACCGAACGGGCTGTTGGTAGAAGAACCAGTGCCCTTATGGAACGAGCGGTTAGCCGAGGGGCCAGCGGGAATGGCGATAGAGGACGACATGGTGCGTGAAGTCGAGTTGAGTGCAAGAACAGCCCAAGAGAAAACGAGGGGTATTGAAAATGACACTATTGGCGTGTGACGAACGTCGGCCGAGTCGTGGACGGCAAGGCGAAGAGGAGAGTAGAGGAGAGAAGAGCAGATGACTGTACTGTACTGTGCCGAGAGGTGGAATGACGCAACAAAGAGACGCACGCCGGACCGTTATAGTATAGATAGATAGGTAGTCGAATAGAGGCAGAAGACTGAGTTGCGGGAAGACAAAAAGCCAGTACGTAGAAGGGGAAAAAAGAAGAACAAGGTTTGTGGTATGTTGGAGATTGAACAAGACAAGTCAGAAGTAGAAAGTCCAGTGAGGTACGGATAGGTGACTGACTCCTCGGCCGCCGACCAGTGAATCACCGCCGCATCATCCCGTGAACGGGCGACTGATCCGACCTAGGTAGATAAGCCACAATACGTAAAGGTACTTGAGTTTACATGGAACTGTGCATGAAAGTACATGTTCATCCAATATTACAACAACACCAGATCATTTATCGTCAACTCATTACAGCACTTTGTATTATATCCTTCCCCTGCAATCAAGGCAATCAGGCCCCCGCCTTTAAGGTATCTCCAAAACATCGCGGATATGTCTTATCAGAGCCCATGCCAGAGACTCATGAGTCTCTTCTCACCGCAAAACCAGCCATATCAACCTTAGACTGCACCGGCATCAGGGTATTTCAAACACAGCCGCTAAGGCATCACCCCCAGTTTGAAGAGTCTCAGAAGGGTCAAGTGTTAAAGTACAGCAGCACGTCGTTCACTGTAGCTATCATGTACCTGCCAGGTAAGTAGCACTAACACCTCCCCTCAGAAACAGTCCCCTCCAGGGTCCCCACGACGGTGTGGAGGCAGATCCCCCCATCAATCAACCAATCTGATTCACTCAACCACCCATAGAAGCCTTGGAGCCTTGGAGCCTTGGAGCCTTGGGGCCTTGCAGCCGCTGCAAGCTAGGTACCTACTAACCTAGGAGGTTGTAACCCCACTCCGCCCTGCCTATAACTTGACATCGTGAACCAATCAGAGCTGCTTGGAACTGGACCCTCACTGGCCTCAATGTTTGCTTGCTCTTTGACCGTAGTCGAGTCACGTGAAGCTATCCAGCTTGGTGATGACTAAGTTCTCCTTCGCGCTAGTTTCCCTGAGCTCCTAGTGTCGTCGTCGTCGTTGCTGGCGCCTGGCATCATCTCGAAGCAGCTCATCACTCATTCAACCACCGAACAACAAACAAGTGGTGCACATCCACGATATCGATCGCCAACGAACTCTTACACGTATTTGATAATACATCGCTTTTCTTCGGGCCCTGCACCTAATCCCTAAAAACAACACAAGCGCAAATATGGGTGACGTCGCTGTCGAAAACCCAGCAAACCAAGTGGCACCTTACAAAAAGGCCGCGCACTCAGCCATTCCTACCATTGACAACTTCGAGGGTGTTTCGACTGATGGAGGAGATGATTACGCGAACTTGAAGAAGCTCCAGAGGCAACTAGAGTATGATGCTCCGATACCAGATATCGCAAAGTGGCGGGGAACTGATAGCTTTGGTACAGGTACATTCAACTGCAAGAAGAGTATATCAAGGATGAACAAAGGTAATTTATTTTAAGAAGTATCCTTCATTAACACACAGGATTCTGATTGCGTGCAGGAGTCTGAAGCGAGAGCTGGTTCGAGCTCAAGAAGAGATCAAGCGAATTCAAAGCGTTCCATTAGTGATTGGCCAGTTTATGGAGGCGATTGACCAAAAGTATGCCTCTCCCCGCAGTCGTTCATTGAAGCTAGCTAACCAGCATTTCCCAAAGTACTGGCATTGTTCAATCTAGCACTGGATCCAACTATGTGGTTAGAATCCTTTCAACCCTCGACCGCGAGAAGCTCAAGGCTTCTTCCTCGGTTGCTCTCCACCGACACTCCAACGCCCTCGTCGATATTCTTCCTCCCGAGGCCGATTCCTCCATTGCCATGCTTGGCGCCGACGAGAAGCCCGATGTAACATACGCCGACGTTGGTGGTCTAGATATGCAGAAGCAGGAGATTCGTGAAGCTGTTGAATTGCCCTTGACACACTTCGATCTTTACAAGCAGATCGGTATTGACCCTCCTCGAGGTGTTCTCTTGTACGGTCCTCCCGGCACCGGCAAGACTATGTTGGTCAAGGCTGTTGCCAACTCGACTACTGCCAACTTTATCCGAGTCGTTGGTTCTGAATTCGTCCAGAAATATCTGGGTGAAGGCCCCAGGATGGTCCGAGACGTCTTCCGTATGGCGCGTGAGAACTCTCCCGCCATTATCTTCATCGATGAGATTGATGCTATTGCAACAAAGCGATTCGATGCTCAAACCGGCGCAGACAGAGAAGTCCAGCGTATTCTGCTGGAGCTTCTCAACCAGATGGATGGGTTCGATCAGACTGCCAACGTCAAGGTCATCATGGCGACCAACCGAGCCGACACCCTCGATCCTGCTCTTTTGCGCCCTGGACGTCTCGACCGAAAGATTGAATTTCCCTCGCTACGGGACCGTCGTGAACGACGCCTTATCTTCTCGACCATTGCCGGCAAGATGAGTCTGGCTCCCGAAGTTGACCTTGACTCTTTGATTGTCCGAAACGACCCCCTATCCGGTGCTGTCATCGCTGCCATCATGCAGGAGGCAGGTCTCCGTGCAGTCCGCAAGAACCGTTACAACATCATCCAGAGCGATCTCGAGGACGCCTATTCGAGCCAGGTCAAGGGTACGGGCGAAGAGAATAAGTTCGATTTCTACAAATAGATCAACTGGGTCAGTATTTTCGCTTTGCCGACTCTTATGTGTCGACTACGCTGTATTTCATACACCAACTTCAAGGCTAAGGGGATACATTTGAGGGAAAAGACTATACGGACGAGGATGGTATAGAGACTGTAAAGGTAGACTAGGATTAATCAACGTGCCGGTTGGGCACCAGCGATATGGACTTTTCAATCTCAAAAGCTTGTGATCCAAACTCAACGATATACTGATTTCCAACTTAGCTACACTGCATGACATGTGCTTGATACATCTGCAGTGTGAGCGATGACGCTACCAGGCTTCAGCACACCCGACGTACCGAAGCCTGCTCCATGTAGGTGCATGTTCACAGTATAAGATGATCAGCTAACAGAAACGACAGAGTATTCACAGTCGAAACAGTCTCGGTTGTCGTTGATGGGGTTTAATTTTGCAACCCACGTCTTCGGACTTGCCACCGGAGTATGCATCATATCTTCGTTAATTCTCCATCCACTTGCTAACCTCGGATCACAATATGAGACAACATTAGTCCAGCACGCACACAAACTGGGTATATTGAACTGCAGAGTCCATAAATAACCTTCCGTTCCGTTCCATACCATTCATCCTGCCTGGCATTCCATGTCTAATATTGCGCTTATGAAAAAGAAAAGAAGAAAATCTATGAACATTAAAACCATTCCAACAATGAAAAGAAGCGGGCGAATAGAGATACAGATTCGTTGATAAATACACTTGCTTCTCCCAAGAACTCCGTTGACCCCCACCACCTTTTCGTTTTTGTTTCCCATTTCGCTACCCGTCTATTTTAATCCACTCATTCCATCTGTGAGTTCCTCGTCCTGACGAGTTCTCTACGCACCTAGTACAAACAAAGGCAGAACGACACGCTTAAAAACGCAAGGGGGAATCAGAAGCCCAGCCAAAAAGATGCCAGTGGAGAAACGCCATGAAGTCCTTCCAAAGGCGACATATGTAAGAGTACAGTTACATGAGGTTCTTGGCGTCGCCAGCTGCAGGGGTATATCCTCGCTGTCTGGCAGAAAGGTGGAGGCAGTGCGGCCAAGAAGTCTCGAAAATAAGCAAAAGGAAAGTGTAGCTAAGTCCTGGAGAACTGCAGCTATCGATCTGAAGGGATGCTTCGTTGGGTGGGTTATTAGCCATTACCATCACTCGTACATATAAGCTTGTATGTGTAGTCATACTCGCGTAAGAATCGCCGCGCCGTAGAAAAGAGGAGCCGGGTATTGACCGGCCCAGGCTTATTGGCGTAGGCAAGTAGAGTAACATTGGTAAGGCTGGGTATATCTGCAGCAGTCCCAAGTCACCCGATGAAGTAAAATGATGGATGGAACATCAATTCAAGGGAACGACTTGTGGACATGCCTGGGCAGAGAAACGTATAGAGCATGCGCATAGGCATAAACGGCTCATTACGAGCTCAAAGTGACACCGACCTCAAAGAGCAGGTGAACAAAACGTCGGTGCAGCTCAATAAAAATATCAGGCTGGCCAACAATCTCCGCAAGACCGCGGGCTTTGGGGGCCGAGGCACCAGGTCCACCACCCATGCGTCGGGTGAACCCGCTGCCACCTGTCAGGAAGCTGCTGCCATTGCGATCGTGGCCTCCGGACGTCTCAACAGGCGGTTGCTGAGGCGGATAGCCACCCCCGTAGATGCTGCTACCAATAGGAGAGTTTTCGGCCGCTCTCTCAGCCTCAGCTTCGGCAAGCTGTTGGATCCAAGTAGCGAAGTCTCGGAAGGCTGTCGAAACCACGGCAAATGTTTTCATGGCCAAGCGCTCTCGGTGAGTACTTAGCGCCAAGAAAGCATAAACTCGCTTATGACCCCGTGCGTGTACATCAGGGATACGGAAGATGTAAGCCGTCGTGTAACCGGCATTGGCATCGCCGAAGAAAATGGGACCGCCCGTGACAGCCGAGCCGGCGCTTTGTGTTGTGACAAAGGCCGGGGAAGTAGTCATGACGGGTGACGTGGGGTTTGCCGTCGAAGGAGCCCGAGGTAAAGTCTCGAAGGACAGAGTGCGCAAGCAAGAAGCACGAATTAGTGAGAAAGAGTCGGGTAGGACTGGAGCGTGAGTCGATGTGTAATCGACATAGTGAAGATGAAAGGGTGTCCGTTCAGCTGCGGTTGAATTGCCTGTGCCACCACTCTTGCTTGATCGCGAGGTATTGCGTGAGCTGACGGAAGGTGTTACTCTGTGACGAGCAGCCCGAGGGTTTTCGTCTCGCTCTCCGTCAGTATCGCTCGAGGTTTGTGAATTGGGAGGTGATGCCTGCCCTCCAGCACCAAACACCCGTTCTGCAGGCGCACGTGTGCGTAATGTTGGTCCACGAGCATTGTTCGCCAGTTGCGGGCTGTTTGATCCCGCCTGTTGGCGCGGTAAGGTCATTGCGCAGTTATCGCAAGGCCCTTGCTTCTTCGTAACCGTCTCATCGTAAGTTCTTCGAAAGCTCGAATCACGCCGGGGATGGGGAGGGACTGGTCGAGGACTTTCAGGGGGGGTGTCGATTGCGCTTGGGTTTGTGCCTGTATTCGAGCTGGAGTTTCGCAAGAGCTTTGCCCGTTGCGCCTGAGCGTCCTGCTCAGAAGCTGGTATCGACGTGCTCCGGGAAAGGTCGAGATTCTTCAAAGCCTCGTTCAGGGCAGTCGAAGAAGTATGCGCACTAGTTGGCGGTCTATCATCGGCAGGTTCTGTGCCATCTTCGAAGCAGACGGTACATGAGGCAGGTAGACCCTCGGTGACCATCAAAGGGGTCGGGCCATGGAGGTCGCAGTAATGAGCAAGACATAGCTGGAAAGAATGCATTAGTGATCGCGTATTGGACATTCGAAGAACAAGACCGCTAGGCGCGAAAACAAGGTAAAAATTAAAAGTTGCCAAGCAGGAACCGATCACAGCAACAAAGACATGGGCGTCGAATTGTATATCAACTCAGGGCCATGACGTTGTGGAACAGGGATGTATAGAGCATGAATGGATAAATAGGCCTCGGAAGAGGAGGGTTGCAAGGGGGCAGCGATGGGAGACATGGTATTAAAGAACAAAGCGGGTGTGGTCTTTCTCGGTGTTTCGATGAAGCTTGTTTTGGTTGCCCTCTCCCCTTTCCCATCGGTAACGGGCCGTTGATGGGGTCATGGGGCTGAAGGAGGGAAGTGATGTGGCACTCGGTGAGTTGGGATTCCAGAGCAAAGCATCATGATTGTCCATACTGCCAGCGCCAGAGCGAGGGCAGGGCAGTCATAGTCGGGCGGTGAAGCGGTGTGGATGTATGCGCACGTCTGTGTGCACCTGTGTATTGTTCGTGCCCAGGCAAGGGTGTGTACAGACATGTCTGGGTGCGTGGGATGTGGGAAGGGACGAGACGAGACGAAAGGACAGGCAGAATAGGGTGTGTGAAAGTGAAAGTGGAAGCGCATGTCAGACAGACTGCGGGCGGCTCGGGGGCCATTAGGAGGTACGGCAGACGGGCCGTCAACGGAGAAGCAGCCAGGAAACGATGGTGTGGAAAGGGAAAGGATGTGAGGTTGAAGCCAAGGAGGATAAAAGCAAGGCAAGGAAGGTCGAGAGCTACATCAAGAAGCAACGTCGATGAGAGACAAGGCATGGTTGTTAGGGGATGAGGGTATAGGTTGACATACGATAGAAAATGAGTTGTTAGGGTATGGTATGGTATGGTATGGATGGATCATGATTGGTAGTGTCCAGATCTTGGGAAAGGTACCAGAAATGTCTGGACCCAACAGAGCGGACAATACCGATAACAAACCAAATCAATGCCCGCATCGACATAGCGAAGCAAAGGCTGAAGAAGAAAAGCAATTATAGTTGACAGGGATGTTCTGAGACAAGCTGTCGACCATGTGAAGTGAATGCATGGCGTGTGATGCCCTCGTTGACCAGGGCGTCGGTTGAACAGGAACGTGGAGGGCGGAGGAAGCAGCGCGGAGCGTGGAGGGTGCGACGTCGGACGTGGCAGGAATTGGCATGTGGTTGTACAGCCAGACAAGCAGGCGAGACAGGGAAAGACAAGACATGGAGATTTGACTGAGATGATAGAATTGTGTTGTACACTTACAATGTATGTCATGACGTATCGTCTCGGAATCGAATCGCGGCAGGGGAACGAACGAGGAGGGCTGAATCGAGGTTGCGAGACAAGGAGTCGTCTCCCTTAACGGCTGCGCAACACTGCACAGGGGACAGCGGACAGCGGAGAGGAGAAGAGAGCTGGTGGCTCGAATCTAAGCTGAAGCTGTTTCGGAGCGATGCGGCAGTAGAAAGGTAGTAGCTGATAAAGTCGTCGAGGGCGAAACGTACAGTGCGAGCAATGGCAAGATCGTCGAAGGCGTAGGCAGGTACTGTTGTGTGCAGTAAAGTGCAGTATGGCTACAGTAGGCGAGTAGCTCGTTTGATGAATCCGTTTCAATTGATATGGTCGAGTAAGGTGCGCCGGAACCTAGGTATGTTGGAAAAGAATTGGATGTTTACACACAGAGCAAGGCTCTCGGCTTGGCTTGGCTCAAGCCTGGTCTGACCAGGGTGTGGTATGAGTGAAGAAAAAAGGGTGGCAGCTGCCAACACGTGCAATTGCTCCGGGCAAGATTATCGAACAAAGAAGTGTCGGAAAGACTCGAGACGACGAGTTGCGAAGGTGAGATATGAAGAGTTTGGTCGCAAGAGAGGGGCAATTAATTAGTAACGATTGGTGAGCGCAAGACGAGATGCGATGCAGTATCGGAGGCGGAAAGGCGCGGCTGCAGTAGAGTAGAGTACAGTATCGGCAGGGAAGCCAAAGATGGTACAAATATCGAGAATGAAAACGAGGAAGAGATGATAGAGGAGGATGGCAATTGGAGGGGATTCGACGGAAACGACCAAGGGACGGACAAGGTTTAGTCCAAGGGTTAGGTTGAAGATGACGATGCCTCTCTCTAGTTGGGTGATATGATATAATATGACGGTAGACTTGATCTCGTCTTTGACATTGATTTCTGTCAAATCAAGTAAAGTCAAGTTTGTTCCTTTCGTCTTGAATGTAAATCGATGTCGACTTGAAGCTCGTGGCTTTGCTGTGGGGGTGGGCGTTTTTTAAGACAAGGCCCCTCGCGAACGAACATGAGAAACCGTTTGAGGAAGGCATGGGATGGATATTTCAATAAATAGGATCCAATAGGACGCGGCAACAAGACATGGGGTGGGAGACTCCATTGCTTCCATAAAGTGGGTACAGGCACAAGCAGAAAAGCCAAGCATGGACAGTGTGAGTGGATAAAAAAACGAAGATGGAACTCCATTACAGTGCAGTGCAGTGAGGTTTTTAGTGGTTCCATACCTACTATTCTAGGTACTAGCTGCACCAGACTGCCAGCCAGCCCAATGGACCAAAAGTCCAGCGCGGCATCCGGCACGTCGTCGTTAAACGCCAAACTAACAACCTACCTAGGTAACCTACCAACAATCAAATCAAATCAAACTTTCCCCTGGCCTGGACTACAATGCGTCCTGTGCTGCAAAGATGAGATTCCATTGTTTGGGGTTTGAACATCATCATCATATCCATATCACAGTCTTGTTAGGTGTAACAAAGTCAGTTTCGTGTCTGATCTAATATTGTACAGAAGGAAAAAAAGTCAGGAATCATCAACGTTAGTATCCATCCATTCATTATCAAGACGTTCATTGGAAGACATGGAAGACAAGACGACAGATGAATCGCTCGGATGCGCTAAGCAAAACTTCCTAGTGTCCACACATTGAAGAATTTCCTCTTCTATGACGACGAACCGCCTTGATCATTCTCACCGCAAGCTGCCAGCAGCAAGCATTATTCCAAGAGAACAATTGCCTCAAGGACAAAGGATCGTGATCAAGATGGTGATTGATGGTCATTGCTTCCAACATGCGAACATGGTTCTTCTCAGCTCTTGTTTTGCTTTTTCCTCCATGACCCACTAGCTGCGGTTGTTGTGTTGTAGGTACTATACATAACTACTGTATCAACAGCAACATCAATCGAAAAGAAAGAAAAATAACCTGTTGTAGTAAGGGTCCTGCGGTTGGGTAAACTGATCCGCTGGTGGGTTCTCAGTCCCAACTTCTTTTCCACCTACGGAAACGGATACCCTATCCGTACTCAGGTATGTATTCACAGGGGTTGGATCTTCACCACCACAATAACCTTTTTTATTGACCCTGTCAGTGCCTTTTAAGCTGATATAACGCTTAACTAACTTACTCTCTCAAACCCTTCGACGAAGCCATCTAGCGCCGACACCAGGGGGAATTCTGCTATTACTGCAACGTACTGGGCTAGTGGGACCTGTTCCGCTCGACTAACTTAGTCCTGCACAGTACAGTAGGATGACCTGTTTTTCTTATTGGATATCCTGTAAGCCATTCCGATGAGAGACACCGAGGTCCAACATGACACCTCTCTCTCGGTTAGCGGAAACTCTACATGATCTAGGATCTTAGGCCTGGCTATTTCCTCTGGCTCGAAGTACCACTCGGAGGAGAACAGAATGGAAAAGAAACGGGAACGCGTTGAGAAACAAAAGCCGAGCCTACGTCGGCGCAGCTTCTAGAGCGAGTCTAGGTGATTAACTCACGACAAGAATCCCGATGCTGAGGCACTTATGGAGACCGACCCGACAGAAGACTCCACCATCGCGTGCGCCGGCGCGGTTGAAGGAGCAAGGTCAGGGATTCTTTGGTTACTGTATTTTGTCGGAGAAAAGAGTCGGTCTTGGACTCTTGGTCTGATGGGAGTTGGACGGGAACGGCCTTCGTGGTCACCACCAGTACATCAGCTCGCCGTCATAATGCTCAAAAGGCAGCACCCAGGTCGAAAGATGAGGACTAACAACAGGCATAATGTAACATCGCAATCTTCAGCGACGAAACACGGAGCCAAGAGAGCCTATCAAACAACGGTCTCTAGCCCAAATAGGGTCTGGGCGGCAGTTGGCTATATCATTATGACAAGCAGCTTCCGCAACAACACGAGGGAGGATGGGTTCGCACAGACACAGACACAGACACAGACGGGTTTGCTGTAATTATGTACGGATAGGTACTGTACTGTATGTACAGTGTTTCATTGATCCGTCTGTGCGACTTGGGTTCACTGAGTCCCAAGGGGAAAGCAGAGCCGTTTACGCGGGGAAATCTACCTACGTTACGTACAGTAGTCGGATAGTCGTGAGGCAGAGGGATCTGGATTGACAGAAATTTGTCCCTTAGTATTGTACCTAATTATAAGACTCGGCTCTTGAGTCTTCAAATTCTTAATAATGTGGCTGTGGCTTAAGATCTGGATCAACCGCAAAGACCGCTTTGCTTTGACTTGCAATTACGCGAGCGGAATAGGAAAGTCGAGACCAAATTGTCGTTGTTTCCTCCTTGTTCCAGATATTCTCCCCGGTTGTCGCGTGCACGTCGACTCCAACTTGAGGCAAGGGAGAGCACAAGACAGCACAAGAGCGTTGGACTTGATTTGATTTGACTTGACTTGACTCGTCTCCTCGCTTCCAAATCAGTGGATCTTCCATTCGCTGCCGAGAGCGGATACCATACGACACGATGCGATGCGATGTTACTTTGACCTGGGTCTTTAGCCTAAGGTAGGTGTCTCCGTACTCTACCCTGGGAACATTGGGCCGCCATCGGAACTCCACTCCACTGATAAAACAGCTCAAAGTGACCCCGGAGCAAAGGCCAAGAGAACGAACGGGCCAGGCCAGGGAGCCGGCTTGTGACAGGTGTTCCAGAAGCCTTCGACGAAGAAGTGAACCCTGGTAACCTGAGGTGGGTCATTTGCTTTAAACAAGATCCTCTCACAGGTGAGTGAGTGAGTGAGTGATCCTGTGGCGAAGAGCAGACTAGACTAGACTTGGTTGTCACTGTGTCATGTTTCATTCTTTTTTCTTTCTATTTTATGTGTCTCTGTGTGTTTGAATCTGGACTCATCCCTTGATGGAAACCATCGGACAAGGAAGCGAACAGAACATACTAGTTCAGAGATTATCGACAAGCTTCCTGTACCAAGTACCACTAACAGTAACATCAACTGAGGAAAAAGCACTGAGTACCCTGAGACTATTTACCTGGTACAAGATTAGAGGGGCGTTCGTCAAAAGGAAGAAGAAAAAAATGCGCCGGATATTGCCTTGCATTGCGGACGTCAAGATGAGCCCTGGACTCTGTCATGGTCAGGGCACAACAGCAAAACACCTATGTAGACAAGTAGGTCAGGTCCCACGATGCCCATCCCTGTACCCACGCGGAAAATGGCATGTGTTTGACAACTGCAGCCCTTAAAGGGCGCAGA